CAAACCATGTGAAGCAAATATGGATATCTCTCAAAGCAAACTTGGATCAAAGTACAATTGTAAAAATATTTGTTTAATTGATTCATGTACAACACATACAATATTCAAAGAGAAAAATTATTTCTCTCATTTAAGTATGTGTAAGGCAGATGTTACTACAATTTCTGGTAGTAGTAAATTAATTGAAGGCTCTGGAAGAGCTACTATAACTCTGCCTAAGGGAGCAATACTTATCATAGAGAATGCAATGTTCTCCTCCAAGTCCAAGAGGAACTTGTTGAGTTTTAAAGATATCCGCCGAAATGGATATCATATTGAGACAATAGATGAGAATAATCTTGAATATCTCATCATTACCAAAAATATCCCTGGCCAGAAAAGGGCTATTGAGAAGTTCTCATCTTTGTCTTGTGGCCTGTATTGGACAAGAATTAGTGCAATTGAGGCACATTCTATTGTAAACCAAAAGGTTACTAATTCCAATACTTTTGTACTATGGCATGATCGATTGGGACACCCTGGATCAATTATGATGAGACGGATTATAGAAAACTCAAATGGGCATCCATTAAAAAATTTAAATATTCTTTTAAATAATGAATTTTCTTGCACTTCTTGTTATCAAGGCAAGTTAATTATTAGACCATCACCAACAAAGGTTGGAATGAGTCTCCTGTGTTTTTGGAATGTATACAAGGGGACATTTGTAGACCTATTCACCCACCTAGTGGGTCGTTTAGATATTTTATGGTCTTAATAGACGCATCTTCTAGATGGTCCCATGTGTGCCTATTGTCATCTCGCAACCTCGCGTTTGCAAAATTAATGACACAAATAATTCGATTACGGGCACAATTTTCTGATAATCCAATTAAGTCTATTAGACTTGATAATGCTGCTGAGTTTTCATCCCAAGCATTTAATGATTATTGCTTATCAATTGGGATAAAAGTGGAACATCCTATAGCTCATGTTCACACTCAAAATGGTCTTGCAGAGTCTTTAATTAAACGTCTGCAATTGATAGCAAGACCGTTACTCATGAAAACGAGGCTGCCCACTTCTGTTTGGGGTCACGCCATTTTGCACGCATCAATGCTAGTTCGTCTCAGACCGACAAATTATCATAAATATTCCCCGTTGCAATTAGTTTTGGGTCATGAACCTAATATATCCCATTTAAGAATTTTTGGTTGAGCAGTATATGTGCCTGTAGCACCGCCATATCGCACCAAAATGGGTCCGCAAAGAAGGTTAGGAATATATATTGGGTTTGAATCGCCCTCAATTATTCGCTACCTCGAACCATTGACGGGGGATTTGTTTACTGCACGATTTGCAGACTATCGATTCGATGAGACACTTTTCCCAAAATTAGGGGGAGAAATTGGTGAAACCAAACGGGAAATTTTGTGGAAAAATCCATCATTATCTCATCTTGATCCACGTGCCTCTATTTGTGAAAAAGAGGTGCAAAAGATTATTCATTTGCAGAGAATAGCAAATCAAATGCCAGATGCATTTACGGATATGAAAAGGATAACAAAATCACATATCCCTGCGGAGAATGTTCCAATCCGTATTGATGTCCCTATTGGACAATCTTCTAGTGTCACAGCTAATGAGTCAAAAACACGCCTTAAACGTGGCAGACCATTAGGTTCCAAAGATCGAAATCCTAGAAAAAGAAAAACAAATGATCAAAATGACACTACGAAAGAACCTCATGAAGAAATCCACGATTTAATAAATTCTGAGATTCATCAGGAATCCACTGAGCCCGAGACTCAAGAAAATAAGGAACTATCAATAAATCCAATCGATATTGAGACAAATTTGAATCGAGTGGATATAGTGGTGGATTATGTCTTTGCATATAATGTTGCATCTAGCATTATGCAAGAAAGTGAGGATCTTGAACCTCAATCTGTTGGAGAATGTCGACAAAGACTTGATTGGCCAAAATGGCAAGAAGCAATCCAATCAGAGTTGAACTCACTTGCAAAACGTGAAGTTTTTGGGCCTGTAGTCCAAACATCTAATGGTGTTAAGCCTGTTGGTTATAAATGGGTCTTTGTACGCAAGAGAAATGAGAAAAATGTGGTACAAAGATATAAGGCACGCTTTGTTGCACAAGGATTTTCACAAAGGCCTGGTGTCGATTATGAAGAGACATATTCACCCGTTATGGATGCTATAACGTTCCGTTATCTCATTAGTTTTGCTGTCCATGAAAAGCTTGACATGCATTTAATGGATGTGCTTACCGCCTACCTTTATGGCTCACTTGATAATGAGATATACATGAAAATTCCCGAGGGATTCAAAATGCCTAACGCAAATAATTCAAAATCCTGGGAAATGTTTTCAATCAAATTGCAAAGATCTTTGTATGGTCTAAAGCAATCAGGACGAATGTGGTATAATCGTCTTAGTGAGTATTTATTAAAGGAAGGCTATATAAATGATGCCATTTGCCCATGTGTTTTTATAAAGAAAACAACATCGGAATTTGTTGTACTTGCCGTATATGTTGATGACATAAACCTTATTGGAACTCCTATAGAACTCCAAAAGGCAATTGATTATTTAAAAAAGGAATTCGAGATGAAAGATCTCGGAAAGACAAAATTATGTCTTGGTTTGCAAATTGAACATTTGGCAAACGGAATTTTTGTTCATCAATCTGCCTACTTAGAAAAGGTATTGAAACGGTTTTACATGGATGGAGCACATCCATTAAATACTCCGATGGTTGTTCGATCACTTGATGTGAACAATGATCCATTCCGACCTCAAGAAGAGAATGAAGAGCTACTTGGTCCTGAAGTACCATATCTTAGTGCAATTGGTGCACTAATGTATCTTGCCAATACTACAAGGCCCGACATAACTTTTCAGTTAATGTCTTAGCAAGATATAGCTCTGCTCCCATAAGGAGACATTGGAATGGGATCAAACACATATTGCGGTATCTAAAAGGGACTACCGATATGAGCTTTTTTTATGGCAATAATTGCAGTCCTGATCTTGTTGGTTATGCCGATGCTGGATATTTATCTGACCCACACAAGGCTCGGTCTCAAACAGGTTATGTGTTTACCTGTGGAGGCACTGCCATATCTTGGCGATCGACTAAGCAATTAATTGTGGCTACTTCATTTAATCATGCTGAGATAATTGCTATTCATGAAGCAAGTCGAGAATGTGTGTGGTTGAGGTCTATAATACATCTTATTCGAGACAAATGTGGTGTGAAATGTGACAAACTACCCACAATTTTGTATGAAGATAATGCAGCATGCATAGCTCAATTGAAGGGAGGATTCATAAAAGGAGATAGGACAAAGCATATTTCACCAAAGTTATTTTTCACACATGATCTTCAAAAGAATGGTGATATTAATGTGCAATAGATTCGTTCAAGTGATAATATGGCTGATTTGTTCACAAAATCTCTACCAACGTCAACCTTCAAGAAGCTAGTGTACAAGATCGGGATGCGAAGGCTCAAGGATGTGAATTGATGCTCTCATCAGGGAGAGTTAATGCGCGTTGCACTCTTTTTCCCTTACAAGGTTTTGTCCCACTGGGTTTTCCTTGCAAGGTTTTTAACGAGGCAACCAATATGCGCATTTCTAAACATGTGTACTCTTTTTCCTTTTCTAGAATTTTTTCCCATTGGGTTTTCTTTTAGTTAAGGTTTTAACGAGGCACATTATCTGTTGAATAGACATTCAGGGGGAGTGTTATAAATAGAATTCTATTTATGGTGAATGTCCATATTTAGAGAGAATCTAGGGTTTATTACTTGGTGGCTAAGTCAACCTCTCCCTATAAATAGAGGATTCTATTCCATTGTAATTCATCCCAAATTCAATAAGAATTTCCTCTCTCTCTTTCTCTGCAATATTGCTCTTGTTCTTTTATTATTTTATAACACTTTCTATTTTTTTAAAACGTCAAATATTTAAATAAATTCTCTTTATCAAAACGACTGAGATCAGAAGAGTAACACGTTTTTTAGAAGAGAGAAGAAAAGTAGAATTATGCCAAAATCTTCAATATTAAGTGTCATTAAAGAATAAATATGGGAAGGTAAACCACATATGGGTTAAGAAAGATTAACCATATATTGTTGAGAAATTAGAATCAATTGCAAAGCGTCCAATAAATAGTAGGTGTAAGATTAATTTAAGACATGCATATTGTTTCCCGTGATTCTGTTTGTCTTTGGTGCCTTTAATTTAACTAGTCGATTCTATTACATGTTATTTTGATCCAAATTTTGTAGCCATAATTAAAATAATCCTTTTGTTTTTTCCATCCCCGTTATTTTTTTTCCCTTGTGAAAAATTACAGACTTTGCTTTCTTGCCTTCTGTTCATCCAAACAGAACAATATAATTGCATGCATGGATTTGAAAAGAATCTATTTTATGAATATGATAGTCTTAACCTAAGGTAATATGACCTTCTCCATTTGTTTCTTGTTCTGAAGTTAGATTTAAAATAACTCCAATTTGTTAGATTCCTTAAACATTCGATTTCTCTGATCTGAAATTAAATTTTGCCTTCTCTATTGTTAATTTTTTTTTACTTTTATGGGTTTGAAAATCTCTCATTAATGAATATGATATAATTAGAGCAATTTTGTATTAGCCTTCAGCAATATAGATCTTCAGATATTCTAAGGTAGGTAAAAAAAAAAAAAATCGTGGTTTGCGAATGTGAAAGAAAATTTACATTTGTTATAGGATTTTAAGCCCTCAATCACCCACATAACACGTTATATGTGGGTTATTAGGCAAATATGAGTTCTAACTTTGCTGCAAACAAAAACCTGATATTTAAGTGGGGAGGGCAGAAAAACGGGCTCATTATCCATTAAGTTTCGAATCGTATGTTGCTGGGCCTCAGGGCCTATGGAAGTCCCATTTATTAACTTTTGTGGATGAAGCCCATGTTACGAGGAGCACAACTTAACATGGATCAATTATGGGTGTTATGAACAATACAAGGTCTTGAAATTTAGGTTTTAGGTTTAATAATTGAGATTGATATCAAAGTTAGTCACACAAAAGAACGATTCTATTTATGCCTCTGAGTTTCAAATGTATGAATTTATGTTTTTTCCTCGTATTATGCTAGAAATGCCGAGGGTTTATTGGGAACAGTCTCTCTACCTTCATATGCTACAGTTAAGGTCTGCGTACACACTACCCTCCCCAGACTCCACTATATGAGATTACACTAGGTATATTGTTGTTGTTGTTGCTTGCCTCGTGTTTTGCAAGAAATGTTAGTTGATTTTTAATGTACATTCTCCTAACTGCAGTTTGATTCGACACATAATTGGAAGCATGTCCTTTTGCTGTCATCAGAGGCGGACTTACGTGTTATGTTGAGGGGTCACCGGACCTCGTAAACTTCGGCAGAAATCTTGTATATGTGTGTATACCTTGAACATGGTTAATTTGAATTACTTGGCACCCTCAGTGCTAAAAGCCTCTCGGCGGCATTGATTGTACAAAATATTGTGCCCCGATCGCGTTAAAATCTTGGTTCCACCTCTGATTGTCATGGATAAAGGTGATGTTGAACAACCTCTACTACGAAGCCATGTAAATTCTTCGATTCGATTTAGTGATATAAACTCTTTCAAGCGAAGGCGAACACAATCGAGCAGCAGTACTGGTAATATCAGTCATATACCTCAGACAAATAATGAGGAACTGTTTCATTCCTCTGAGTCCATTGCAACAGAGAGATTTAGACTCAGGTCTGTGCTCTTATTTTTGGCTGTCTATATAGGCGTTGGAGCGATTTGCTTCTTCATAATCAGGGATCAAATCGAAGGAAAAAAGACTAATGGAATTCTTGATGCAATATACTTGTGTATTGTTACAATGACTACTGTTGGATATGGTGATCTTGTTCCTAAAAGCATCTTAGCTAAGCTACTCGCGTGTATTTTCGTCTTCACGGGCATGGCTCTTGTTGGATTTGTTCTAAGTAAAGCAGCAGATAGTTTTCTTGAGAGGCAGCAAATCCTGTTTCTCAAAGCCATAAAAATGAGGAAAAATTATAGCAGTTCAAATGAGGTGTTGAAAGAGGTTGAAACGAATATCGAAAAGTACAAGTTTTTAAGTGCATTGGCACTTCTTGTGATGTTTACTATACTTGGAACAATTTTTTTAAACCAAGTTGAGGATCTGAGTTTGTTTGATGCTTTTTATTGTGTCTGTGCTACTATTACTACTCTGGGATATGGAGATAAGAGCTTTTCGACAAAATGGGGGCGTTTATTTGCTTCGTTTTGGATATTGTTGAGCACGATTTGTTTGGGTCAGTTGTTTTACTCACTTGCTGAATTATACACAGAACAAAGGCGAAAATCTATGACCAGATGGGTTCTAACTCGGGAGTTGACGAATTCAGACCTGCAGGCAGCAGATCTTGATCATGACAGTGAAGTAAGGTAAGTTGTTACTTAATTTTATATTTCGCGTTCAACAGACTTAACGAAAGATAGAGCACAATAAAATAAAAAGATCTGTATGGTCGATAGCAATAAGTTGAGTATATGCTTTAGTCATGTTAATACATTTACCTTCCTATGCTTAGTCTTTTAGCCCTATAATATGTTTATAGCTGACCCCAACTCGCTTGGGTATGTTGTTGTTATTTGGCGTTCAAGATTTTTTGGGCTATATCCTAATCACTTTCATTTTCTTTATTCAGTGCTGCAGAGTTTATTGTCTATAAACTTAAAGAGTTGGGGAAGATAACTGAGGAAGATGTCTGTGTAGTAATGGAGAGCTTTAAAATGCTTGATGTTGATCATTCAGGCACATTGACTGAAAAGGATATTGCATTATTACACTCGTCAAGATCCAAAAGCTGATAACCCTTGTATCCTCCTATCCATGGTCATGTCCTCAGTCATGTGGAGCAACGCCATATCTTTCCTAATTACCTCTCCCCAATACTTTTTCGGTCTGCCTCTACCTCTGGTCTGATTAAGTTTTGTTCATAGATCTTAAAAAGATTCTAACGATGACTGAAGCCTTTATTTTGAAGAGTCATATGTACATGTTCCTATGGCTCAGATGAGTATTATTGTTTATATCATCACGACTATAAACATTATTTTGTTCCTATTAACAAAACATCCCCTTTTTCTTCGTCGTGAACAAACACAATCCTTACACACACCTAGGAGCATGCACCCTTCCTGCATATTCATACAAGAATCGAGTAGGCAGGCTGAGGTCCTACAAGGTACCCCGGTCTATTGCTCTTTCCTTGTAGCTATTTCACTTTAGAAGGTTGGTTCACAGGTACAACCTTTGTAACTTCATGGTATACTTATGGATTGATCATTATTTGACTTAACCGCCGCAATTTTCTACTCCTTATAGTTTAGCTCGATCAAGATCAAATCTGTTTATCAAAGTGCTTCTTCGATTGCTAAAGACATTTCTTTTCAATCTAGGAACAAAACAAGGTCGCCTTGCAATTAATAAGTTAGTAATTTTTTTTTATTATGATTCGTACTCGTGGTACATAGTACCTTAAATTGCGTGTATGAAATTGTGTATTAATGGAGAACCAATTTGAAAATTTTGCATTTTTCAATCCTATGCACTTGATGTTTGAGTCTTTTGTGAGCGGAGGGTCTATCAGAAACAACCTCTCTACCTTTTAAGGTGGGGGTTACGTCTGCGTACACATTACCCTTCTCAGACCCTATTTGTGGAATTACACTAGGTTCGTTGTTGTTGTTGTTGCACTTGATGTTTGGAAAAGGATCATAGATATACTATTGGAGAATATAAGTTAAGGCATGTTAAATTTGAACTAGATTGAGACAAGTGTTACATTTCCAATGTCATCTTAGTAGTTCTTTAAACTGGACAAGAATGTACATTATCAATCATCAACTATAAACTGGCCACCATCAGGGGCAGATTTATAGCTTAAATTATGGGGCACGTGAACCCATGGCCACCAGAAACCAAACATTCAGACATAGTGTGATTAAAATCGCCAGTCGAATATCAGAAGTCTTCCAGTTGCTGCTGCTGGTGCCCTGCAAGAAAATTCATTAGTCCTTCACCCTCTTTTGGATTGGAGAAGTCAACAGCTAATGGTTGTATATTGTTGAAGGCAAGTATTGTGATCAAAAGTAGAGTTGTGGACAGGACAAGAGGCCAGAAATAAGACAGAATGTTAGCGAAGTTAGGTGCCAAAACAAAGAAGAAAGTAAGAACAAATGATGCAGCAAATAATGTGACAATATGATTCTTGAACTGAAAAATCTTGGCAAAGATTTCCATGGGGTTTAATTTATTTAGAGTTTCAATCAAACACAAAATGGACTTTCTGAATGAAAAGGAGGGAGAGAAGCAGAGGTTTTTGTCTTTGTTAAGATTCTTTGTTCAAAGTGACAAGACTTTGTTTTGGCTCCAAATTGTTTCCAAAGCAATCCTAATCTTTGATACCTTTACATTCAGTTTTATCTTAATGGCTTTGTGTGTCTAATTGCCTTAGTTGAGGTATATGCTAAGATTAAAATTTTTTTGACAAGGGGAATCCTACGAAGAGGAATCTTGGAGCAACGGTAAAGTTGTCTCTGTGTGCAGAGGCGGAGCTACAGTATCGACTACGGGTTTGGCCAAACTCATTAACTTTGGTTCAAATTATTTATGTCTTAAAATTTTCATTAAATATATACAAATTATTAATTTAGAACTCATTAACTTAAAAGGATTAGGATCCCGAATCCATAAACTAGAAATTATGGCCCCGCCTCTGTCTGTGTGACTTATAGGTCACGAGTTCGAGCCATAGTTGTAACCAACATTAGGGCAGGTTATCTACATCATATCCATATGAGTGCGCCCTTTCCCGGATCTTGTGTGAATACGAAATGCTTTGTGCACCAGGCTGTCCATTTTAAGGGGAAACCTCTCAACTTGGTCTTTAAGTAATATGATTAAGGAATGTTAAGACAAAAATGTTCTAAATTGTCCTGAAGTTAAGATTTTTAGTTTAAAATTTCAGATCAAAATAAATATTGGTTAATCTCTAAATAGCAGGATGGCTATCTATGCACTAGCCCCAATTTTAAGTTCTTAGCCATGCAATCAAATCACTTAACAGATAATTACACGTAAATAATTTGATAAGCATTAATTAGTAATTTGTCAATAATATTAATATATGATGCGAAAAACAAAAGTTTACAATGGTGTTTTTTGACAGAATTCTAACCTCATAACAAGTAAGTTCCATGAGATTTTTGCATTCAAAGCCCAAAAAATGGTGTATTTGTACTCATTCAATTTTTTTTCTCCCTACCAAAATTTATTATTGGATGAGAAAAAGAAAAGTAGAGAATAAAGGAAAAAAATAGGGAGAAATTAAAATAAAATTCTATGATAATGAAGAAAGAAAGTGATAGCTAGCTCTAAAAAGATAAGTCTTAATTTGGAGGTTTTTGGTGAGATATTTTAAGGATATATACACATCAATACCTACTACAAAGACACTACCCTTGATGTTAATTGTGTTAGTCCATTTATAAAGATTTGACCCTTTGACACAATGTTATTAGTGCATATATTCAATTACATTAATTATAAACTAAAGCACCATTACATTAATAATCCAATACCACTGCTGTTAGTGCTTGTAATAAGCCATATGTATCATTAGTAAATTAAACCACAAAATGATTATTTTCTAGACAACTGAAAATTTTAGATTTCACTACACAAATATCATGACATAATTAGGATTTACTCCTTTTCTACTTTATGTAATCCTCTTTTCTTTTTAATTTGTTCCCGAAAAAAATCCCTTTCTTAATTTAGAAATATTTTAACTTAATAAACTTCTCATTTTGCCCTTAAATGATAAGTTTTATAGTTATATAGTGTATGTTATAACATGCAGATTAAAGATCACAAGTTACAAAAGTTTTATAGTCACACAAATCTTATGACATATTAAATCTCTCATTTATTAGAGGTTTAATTTATATGCCAACGGAGGTTAAGTAAGAAAGTGATCCTAATTAACAAGAAAAAAAGTATATAAGGCATCAATGATGGATTAATACATACGTAATATAATAAAAACAAAAAAAGAGAAAAAAAAAAGGAGGGGAAGGAAAAGAAGGAAGAAATTATTAAGAATTCAAGGTAGAACCGATTTCTTATCACAATTTACCTACTTAAAGCTAATTATCAAAAGATATTATTAAATAGAAATTATAGAACCTTTACAACTTAGCTTGAAATTCCCTTGAGGTCACTTTCAGAACTATAAACTAGAAATTTTATTACATAAATATAGAAAGGAAGCCCCACTAATTTGATGAGGTCACTTTTAGAATTATAAATTGTGATTTTCATTAAGTAATTAATGTAGAAAAGAAACCTCAATTGCTAATCAAGACATGTTTGAATATTTCTAATCTGATTGCCTTTTTCATTTTAAACATTTGAATCAATAGCTGCTTTGAAATTGGGATCACACTATTTATTTTTTGTAAAAACTTATTCGCACCTGATTATTTGATGCGATGAAAATATATATTAATTAACAATGATTAAATGATAGAAATATATATACAGATACATGTCATTTATCTATTAATTTGGTGTAAAAAATGAAAATAAGTTTTGTATCTTGTAAATGCTCTTTAATTTTATCACCTAAGTATGGTTAATTAATGTGTAGTGTCACCTTATTTATTACTTAATTATGGTAAAATATACTAATTTGGTGTAAAGATAATTAGTTCAAATTCCAGTAGAGGCAAAAATATTACTAGGTGATTTCTACCTATTTTTTTTCAAGATTTGGTGGACAGAATTACCTAATACCTATTACTAGTGAAGGTAACAGATATCCCGTGAAATTAGTCGATGTGCATGTAAGCTGGCCCGAACACCACCATTATAAATTACAAAAAAAAAAAAAAAAAAAAAAAAAAAAAAAACTGTAGTGAGACTCTTTATTCTAAAGGCGTGTTTTCTTTTGCCTCACAAAAACATTGATCATGTACAGCTTGAATATTGCCATTTGCCAAGTGTCATCCAACTATGAGAAGCTTTATATAATATATCTACAAGGGAAGTATCAGTATATGGTGTTTTTTCTTTGCCCAATTGCTCTTATCTTCAATTATATTCTAATCATTCATACTTAAAAGCAACTCAGTTTGTTTATGTACTTTAAAGCAAACTCAGTTTAAACCCCTTTTCAATTATTTGTTATCAACACCTCATTCTCTTTGTATTTATCAATGATTCCATGATTTTAAGGAGTGTTTAACGCTCAAGCAATTTATTTACTTCTCAAGTAGGAAGTGCTTTCCATCAATATTTAGAGATATGTTTGGAAAATGTCACATCAATATTTCCCCTACTACGCAGAGTCGGATTTGAAGCAGATGGGTGCACTATTATAAAAAGGTGGATCTAGAATTAGTCTCTTACCACGAAGCCATTACACTTTTAAAATTATAGGTTCAAAATTATATTATTTTTGATATTCTAGTGATTTTCACATATATATCAATACTCCACGCCGAAAATAAGACCATCCAGAATGGGATTTGAATCGCTAATTTCACTTGTAGAGGCGCACTCAATAATCATAGCACCATAGAAGATTTTGAGTATGGGTGCACGCATATATATATTTAAGTAATTTTGAAGAAATATAATATTATTGTATAAGGTTTAGGGAGAGGAGCACACTTCCACGTGGACCCATATTCCTTAACATAGATACACCCCTGCTGCTATGTAGCGAAATGATGGGATGAATGGTATCCTTCCACCCTTGTACAGACGCTTCATATTCGAGTCTTGAAAATAAAATTTTTTTGATAGGAAGCGTTTCCCCCTTAAATGACACTATGCAGCACAAATCTGAATTATTCAGACCGATAGATTCCGCATACTAGATGGTTAAACAAAAAAATTCTCTTTCCCTAAAAGGAAATAGGGACAAAATAGAAAAAAGAAAAGAGCTCTATTTTAGAAATGAAACTTGATTACCTACCACCTCTTTTCTGCTTAAGGAAAGCTTCAAAAAGCAAAGTCCAGATAAGTGTAGGACAACTTAGCCTTTATTCCCTAGAATTTGTCTTGTTTAGTCTAATTTCACTTATTTTTAATAATAATATTTCTTGTACTCACATTTTTTTAGTTATTTCTTTATAATTGTGTTCCACTAAAAACAAACTTCAAGAATATGTTACAGCTAAACCATACAAACTAGTAAGCACAAATGAAGAGTGTGAAGCATATAAAGATTTTGTTCCATATAATCATTACTATCTTTTTTAAAGTTGAGTAATTAAACTAGGAAAAAGAATGTGGAATTACATTAAAGTTTCAAATAAATGGAAAAATTATAAAGTATCCTTTCACTAAAAAAATATAAGATATTAATAATAAAAATAGAGGGAATTAAAAACAGCTAATTAAGCTGGTTTTGATTTGTTATTTTCTGAGGTTTGCTTCAAAAGAAGGGAAGTCCATCCTCTCAATTTCCTTATAAGTAATTGACTCTTTAAATAGCTACAATTACAAAGTCTATGATTTACTACTTAATCTTTCTTAGTACCATTAGTTTCAAGTGTTGTACTATAGTTAGAAGTTATAGCAACAGAAGACAAAAGGAAAGAAATGTCAGGAATATATGAACTTGGGATTGAAGAATATTTTCTTGCTCATCCTGATCCTGTTATTTTGGAAATCAATAATTTGCAGAACCAACTCAAAGGTTAAAAACTACTTTTAGTTTTCACTTTCTGTGTTTCTTGATTATGATGCTAGCTGGCGTACGCAGTGAGTCTTATGTATTAGCTTGCATTTCGGCTGCTGGCTTGAACTCGTGACCTCTTGGTCACACGGCTGCAAGTTTTACAGTTGTGCCAAGGCTCCTGTCCATGCTTTAGCTGCACATGATAAGTTGTTGTCTTAAACCTCTAATATCCACAGTATTTGTTTGTACTGCAATGATGATAAAATCCAGGTTGAAATGAATCAATGATGATCCACTTTCATATAATCATCTGATTTCAGCTGTAGTATACTAGTGTTCTTATTTTGGTAACTGCCTTTTCTGAACACACTGCATATATTTAGCTATTGAATTTCAATTCTTGCTGTGAATTTAATCAGAGAAGGATCGAGAACTTGGAGCAGCTCAAAGTGAAATTAAGGCTCTGAAAGCAACGGAAGTCCTCAAAGACAAAGCTCTTGAAGAGGTACTCTCAATTCGCAATAATCTATCAAACCTCTATTTGGATCTATAACCAGAAACTGCACATGTGCTTGTTATACTTGAGCTATTACTATCGTATTGATAATCCAATTCCTATTTTCCACAGCTCGGGAATGAATTTCAGAGATTGGAGGGAAAGCTGAAAATCAGCGAAACACTTGTTGAACAAAAGGTATGCCATTCAATCTTTTTTGTAATCACGTGCTATTCAAGAGCAACCATTTCTTTACCATTAAGGGCATATAAATAATTGGCTATGAGTGCAAATGCAGAATCTTGATATCAAACGACTCGCTAATGAGAAGAAAGAAGCACTGGCTGCACAATATGCTGCTGAAGCAACACTTAGAAGAGTATATGCAGATCAGAAGGACGATGATTCTCCTCCCCTCGAGTCCATTATTGCTCCTCTCGAGGCAGAGATTAAGATGTATAAGAATGAGGTACTTTACAATGATAAACTCATTCCAGGCATGGGCGTAGCCAGAGCTGAACCCCCTTCGCCTGAAAATTACATTATAAATATACTTTGTCAAAATAGATTTTTATTTATATACAGTAAATGTTGAATCCCTTTGACTTCTTTGTATATTTATTTCTTTATATTTTGAACCTCCTTTACTGAAATTCCTGGCTCCGCCACATTTCCAGGTGCTTCATTTTCTACAATATTTGGTGGCATTAACTTCTTTTCTCTGTCGCTTTTCTAGATTGCAGCATTACAGGAGGATAAAAGGGCTTTGGATCGACACACTAAGTCAAAAGAAGCAGCTTTGCTTCAAGCAGAAATGATACTAAAAAGTGCTTTAGAAAGGGCATTAATAGTAGAGGAGATTCAAAATCAGAACTTTGAACTTAGAAGACAGATTGAAATCTTTCAGGTAGGAATTTCAACCTATGCTGCACAGACTCTCCAAAATGCTGCCGCAGTCCGCAGCCGTGTCGGATCCTCCAAATATGCACCACTTTTGGAAGATCCGACACGCACCCAGTGATATTTTCAGAGAGTCCGAGCAACATAGGTTTCAACCAACTCCATTCTATAAATAGCAGATTAGCGTATGGACTAACATGAATTTCTCTCAATGCAGGAGGAAACCAAAATACTTGATAAGACGAATCGTCAAAAGATTCTTGAGGTGGAAAAACTTAGCCAAACCATTGTAGAACTCGAGGAGGCAATTCTTGCTGGAGGAGCAGCGGCTAATAGACTTCGTGACTACAAACGACAAATTTCTGAATTACAAGTAAAAACCATGCAGACACATATTTTTTAATACTACTCGTCGACACTTTTATAGGTCATAAGACCTGAGCTTTTCTCAATCTTGTAGGAAGAGAAGAGGACATTGGAAAGGGAACTAGCAAGAGTTAAGGTTTCAGCGAACCGAGTAGCAACTGTCGTGGCAAACGAGTGGAAAGATGAGAATGACAAAGTTATGCCTGTAAAACAGTGGCTAGAAGAGAGAAGGCTGTTGCAGGTCATTAAACCATAACATCCAAATGCAAATGAATAACATTTCAAACTCATCTATTACATTTCTTGAAATAGTTTTCGCCTTGGCATTGCAGGCTGAGATGCAACGACTGAAAGACAAATTAAGCATATCAGAGAGAACAGCCAAGGCAGAAGCACAACTAAAGGTGAGATTATTCATTTGAAATTAACCTGATGTGTTTTATCCTCATTCTGTCAATGTTTTGCTATAGGATAAGCTGAAACTGAGACTCAAGACACTCGAAGAAGGCTTGAAGCAAGCGTTCAACGTCTCTGTCAATCCCAATAGAAACCATGGATCCACAAAAATTCAAAAGACCAAACACTTTTTTGGTGTTCTGTCGAACAATACCGGAGTAAAGAAGAGATCGACATCACAACCGAGGGTATCCACCATTAGCCGAATCACCAAGCAGGAAAATACGGATCAAAGAAGCGATGATGCTTCTGGAGAAATGAAGCAAGTCATTAGTCTGAAAAAGAAGACTTTATGGGATTCTCGAGATAAGAACATTGACAGTGTTGGAAAAGAAAATACAGAAATGAATAGCAAGGAAATCACACAATCACAGAAAGTAAAGAATCCAGGAGATGATGAAGAAGAAAACAAAACTAGTCGAAGCATGGAGAGCGATAGCGATGATATAGTATCAGGTTTTTTGTATGACAGGCTACAGAAAGAGGTTATCAGTTTGAGGAAGTTTTGTGAGACAAAGGAATCTGCTTTGAATACTAAAGATGAAGAAATTAAGGTAAAATATTACCACAAAACAAAACTCTATTGCTCTTATTCATCTTAAAATCCATGCAGACACTTTATCTTCTTCCTTTTATCATTTATCAATCTGTTTGGTGTTTTCAGATGCTAACGAAGAAGATCGAGACGCTGTCTAAAGCCATAGAAGTTGAAGCAAGAAAACGAAAAGTTAAGCAACAAGGTCAGTGAGAACATCTTGAAGATTCATGTAAAAAGGCAGAAAAGGTGATCTTGATTCATCAGTCTTTGACTCTTGCATTTATTGTATATACAAAGAGGTGAATAGTAATCACAGGAATAAAGATCCAAATTTCATTTGTAATTTGTAAAGTGAGTGACTAACTCTGTCACAACTGGATGGTAATTCTTTTGTTTTAGTTTCTTACTTTTCCCCCATTGTCCATGTCCTTGTACAGTTATTTTCAGCTTTAGATTCAGATGAGTAATAATAATTGGAAGTTTGATCCTTTTTGTTAGTATTCACAACACCTACAGCAGAGTGCTTCTTGTTTTCTGTTATGTTGCTCGGACTCTCCAAAAATGTCTTCTGGTGTGTATCGGATCATCCAAAAGTAGTGTATATTTAGAGGATCGGATACGGGTGGGGCAGCATTTTGGAGAGTCCGTGCAATACAGGTTTTCTCCAATAACTATACAATTATGTCATCATATTAAAAATGATCTCCATTTCGGACTTCTCCCTTTCCAAAATAATGTGGAGAAATCAAGAAACAGAAGTTGTCAACTTTGCACCTATAATAAAAGGAAAAAAAGAAGCAGCTCTCATCTTCTTGTTATAACAACTCTATAACCTACTAGTAGGGATGTGGTAGGATCGACATGATCCTTCCACCCTTAACCAGTGGTCTCGAGTTCTAGCCCTGGAATAGAAAATTCCTGGTAAAGAGAACTTTCCACTTAAATTAGTCGAGCTAGTAGATTCTGGATGCCAGATGGTTGACAAAAAAGACTCTATAACTCCACTAGTCAGAGATGTGATGTGGTCGACATGATCCTTCCATCCTTAACCAGAGGTCTCGATTTCAAGCTCTGGAATAGAAAAGTCCTTGTAAAGAGAACTTTCCCCTTAAATTAGTCGGGCTAGTAGATTCCGAATGTCAGATGGTTGACAAAAAAAACTCTATAACTCCACTAGTCAGGGATGTGGTGGGATCGACATGATCCTTCCACCCTTAACTAGTGGTCTCGAGTTCAAGCGCTGGAATAGAAAATTCCTCGTAAAGAGAACTTTCTCCTTAAATTAGTCGGGCTAGTAGATTTCGGATACCAGATGGTTGGAAAAAAAACTCTATAACTCTGGAATAGTAGCTAAAGAAGGCTTCCACCTTTTACAATCATCTCTTACTCTTAAAGATTGGATTGGGATTTGCCCACATTGGATCTCTTTTACATTATTCACAAGCAGCTCTAACTGTTGTTTTGTCAGGACAATCTTGATCCTCTGGTTCTTGCAACTATTATCACTCATGTCATTAGATAGACATCTAGGTGAATGGCATTGCTGGTTGAAATGTTGAATAACATAATACATCTCTTCATCAGATCTTAGCTTTTGGTCATTGGCTAAATCTCTGACATCTTCATTTTCTTGATTTAGAGATGAAGAAAATAGTGTATCAATACAATTCCCCATGATTAATTGCAACGAAAAGTTATGATTTATGACCAAAACCATCTCTATTTATAGTGCTGCTATCAGGTGCGGATCGGAGGTGCAAGTCGAAATACGCGTTCGGTCTAACCCAGTAGTTTTTGCTCAAACAGTGTATTTGGTGTTAAGAATTCATTAAAATGTACAAATATTAAATTTAGAACCCAATCACTAACACTTGAAATCGTCGTTCTAAAAACCAGAACCCATAAAGTTGAAATCATGCCTCCGCCACGGGCTTCTATAACAATATAGATACCACGTTCAAGACAAAGAAAAACGTGCAGGCCACCTTTAAGACCTTTTATTTCTAGCAAAAGCGACGTTTAGTTATTTAAAATTGCGCAACCATGCATATTTTAATTTCAAGAAGAAGAAAGGGTGATATTATATGGAATAAAGAACTAATCAAGAAGCTCTTGAGCTATTTTAAGGAACTCTTTTAGGTTGACTTTTACCAAATACAGTATATATATATATATCATTTTCTGTATGTTTTACCTAATGAGAACGCAATAGTCCCACAATGTCAACTCAACATCGGTGCCAAAGATGAGGGAGGTAAACTCTACCTTGGAAACCTCTCCCCATGGGTTCAAGATTTTAGTCGTTCTGCTTTTCAACCTTACAAATTGAATGAATTTGTTAAGACAAATACAAAGTTACTGGCCGAATCCGCAACTTGGTCTCTGGCTCCGCTCCCGCTCATGACTAGGCTAATCCTCCCCTTATTTACTCATTACAGAAGGGCCATTTTCAAGGGAACTCAATTGGCACCCTTGGGCAAGATAGCTACTTGCCTCATTTTGGTGGTGAAATTGTTTATTTGGAAATTTCCGGAAAAACTAATTATAGGTTCTTCTCTCCATTGAAACAGTAGAAGGGCCATTATGTTCATTAATAAAGAGTTTACTTAATGAGATATGGAAGTGAAATTGCGCCTATGTTCCTTATTTGTGGCGCATAAGCCTATATTTGCTCATCACCTCCAACAATAGAAACAACACAAATACATTCATAGAGAACAAACAAAAGTGGAAAATAAAGAAATTAATTATAGAAGATTTATTATACTATCACAAAGTACTAATATTTAAAGTAGGGCAATAATAGAAGATTTATATAACTAGACAGTTAAGCCGTTTGGTCACCTACTTATTATTCTCTTTCTGCACTTTTTACTTTAAAAGAAAACTATACCTTGTACATCGTATGTGAAATTAATGAATACAATAATAAGCATTCACATGGACCCAAAACTTTGTTTTGGACACATTTAGAAGCCCAATAAAGAAAGTACAAAGTAGGCCCACAATGATTGGGTCACATTACATAATTGTGCAACCTGTAGCATTTTCTTCACTAAAGTATTCACCGTTAACATAAGGTCCCTTTCCGTAGCTAAATGGGCCAGGGCCAGGCCCATATCCATACGAGTAGTTACCGTAATATGGGGCCGGGGCTTGTGGTACCGGCGTTCCGTAATACTGATAACATGGGCCCCCAGTATAGTAACATTGCCCACAACCACATCCATGTGCTGTTGCTTGTGGGTATCCTTGGACCGGCATCATCATCACCGGCTCCGATACCCACGGCGTTGCCACCATGGCAGCTATAGGACCGTCCTTGGGCTTTTCGGGCTCTTTTTGTTTAGGTTTGTCGATTATTGTCGGCTTTTCTTGTCCTTTTGGCTTCTCGGTATCGTTTACTTTGTCCTTCGGCTTTTCGGTATCTTTTGCTTTGTCCTTGGGCTTTTCGGGCTCTTTTGTTTTGTCCTTGGGCTTCTCGGGCTCCTTGGGCTTTTCAAAGGTGACAGTCTTACCTTTCTCAGGCTCCTTCGGCTTGTCTTTGGGCTTTTCAGGCCCTTTGGGTTTCTCGAGCTCCTTGGGCTTTTCAGGAGGCTTGGGCTTCCCAGGCTCTTTGATCTCAATACTCTTGATTGCTTTTCCTCCTTTACAACACAATTTGTCACGAATTTTTTCAGGACTGCAGCACACTACTGTAATGGTGACAGTATTGGCCTTCTCATCATACACTTGATCTCTAACTTCTGCAATTTAAACCATTTTAACATCAAAGGTTATTAAACAAAAGATATTTGTAGTAACACTTCATACAAAATGAGATGTATAATCTTGAAAATAACATAGGTTATATGTAAGTATAAGTAAGCTGACAATAATTCTTTTTACACAATTAATGTATATAAGTTAAATTCAAGTCCGAAAAGAGACTCACGGGGCATTTTGCAGAGAACTTTCTTGGCCTTCTTGTAGCAGCAAGGGCACTGAAGATCAACCTTGAGCACCATTATAGTGGTCTGTTAAGAAACCAAAAATAAAAAATAAAACATAAATCACTGTGTTATTCATTAAGGAAAATATGAAAATCAACGCTAGAGACTTCAAAAGTGGATCCAAATGCTAATCAGCTATTGAACATGTAATAATGATCCCCTTTTTTTTTTTTTTGTATTATAAGAAAAAAGAAAACACAACAACAATTACGAGCCCTGGTTTTTGACGGCAGACTCAAAAAGCCACCTACAAATAGTGGCGGAGGTAGGATTTCCCCTAAGGGGTTAAAAAGAAAGTTAAAAAATTAAAGAAATTGTAGCCAATGAGAAAATGACCTCTCAAAGGTTTTGAACCCCTTTGACCATTAAACTACGCTTTTGGGTTGTGTCAAGAGGATCAAAACATAATATCTACAGGTAGAAAACAGACTTTGCGCACAGATGCACAACTTCATACTCTCCTATCAAGAGTCGTGTACTCGGTAAGAAATTATAGCCAGCGAGAATTGAACAAACCTTACAAAGGTTTTGACCACTAAACTATGCTTTTGAGTTGTGTCAGGGGATTCAAAACATAATATGTGGAGGTTAAAAAAATTGCCTTATATATACGGTATAAATTTTCACGAAACCCCTTCCACCCTCCTAAGTCCGCGCATGCGGCTACAGACGGTTCCTCAGTCCCAAACAAGTTAAAACAGGCTAAGAAAAAATATATGATAAAAGAGACTAGCATTACCTTCTCAGTGTTGTCACCACCCATGGTTCAGACTTAGAAAGTGTAGACCAGGGAAATGAGAAGATAGATCTGAATTCACAGAAAAAAATGAGGAGGAGAAAAAGGGTGTGATATTAATAGTATGAAAGAATGATAAGGAGAAATGACTTAGGAAAGAGGTAAGTAAGTTAGGAAAGGAGAAGGAATTTGTTGAAATTCATGATATCATCAATTGATTGATTGGCAGCTTCTAGGAGTTGAATAGTTGTGTGTGGGGCGGCCTACGATTGCTGACTATATACTCTCGTTTGCATGTGCTGGATTTGATTGTTACACCTCACCTTTCCATTTTCTTTCTAACCAAAAATAATTTATTAATAGTAGGAATACTAGTGATGTGTATTTTCTTAGTTTAATCATGTGATACTTAAAGTTCATTACAGTCAAACCTCTCTATTACAGTTTCATTTATTTTGATACTTTTTAGTTTCTATAGTAAAGTGTTGTTATAAAAAAATATATATTATAACATACATAAAACTCAGTTCCAAAAAAAAACTTGGCTATTATAGTGAATGACTGTCATATATGGATGTTGTTATAGAGAGGCATGACTGTACAACGGTAACAATAAATTCAGTATAATCTCACAAGTAAAGTATGAGAAAGATAATGTGTGCATAGACGTTACACCTACCTTGTGGAGGTAGAGAGGGTTTTGATAGATTCTCGGCTCAGGAAAAGCATCATCACATCACAGTAAAAGAAATACAGTAAAGGAAAAGTCATTAAAAGAAAAAACAGTAGCAAGAACATGATAATAAGATAACTGAAACAAAAGAGACTGTCGGTGGTAATAAAGTTCTAAGTGTAAGAAAATCTACTATAGGTATTAAAAGGAAAAGATCGACTACCTACTAACATCCTACCCTAATTCTCGACCTTCATACTCTCTTAGCAAGGGTCATGTCCTCCGTAAGTTGCACATGTGTCATGTCTTGCCTTATGACCTCTCCCGATACTTCTTTGGCCTACCTCTACTTCTCTTCAAACCTACCATGGCCAACCTCTCACACCTTCTCATTGAAGCATCTGGGCACCTCCTCTTCACATGTCCGAATTATCTCAATCCCTGTATTCAGTATCATGTCCACTACGGGCCCATTAATCAATTAATTTAAATCCACATCGAATAGACTTAAAAAAAAAAAAGAATAAAACGCTCTATTAAAAAAAAAATTAATTCTCAAAAATTAATTGGTATTGATGATTACTAGTGATTGTATAGTACTACAAAAAATAATAAAGAATAGAGTAAGGAGTGGTTTAGTTTGGTTAGTGCAATAATGGAAGATGTACCCCACATGGCAGGTATGCTTAACCCCTAATTTGTTCTAACAGCTAATTTGTTCGCTAGTTTCTTTTACTTTGCAATTTTTGGATACTATATTATGTACTAATCATAAACTTTTTAGTAACAATTTTCAATTTTCTTTTCTTTAATTTGAAGTAGCAGCAAAAACATGTTGAAGAGTTGCCGTCCTAACTTCTCAAAATCTACCATTCTCGAAAATTCAAACTACCTAATAAAATCAAATTATACATGAAACAGTTTACCCCTTAGTATATCTAAAGCATCCTCATGTGATGAGAAATTTTATGCTAAATTAGAATAAACTTCTGTTTAAGGTCGGCTAAAAATGGATTTGACACTTGTATTAGAAAAATTGATGCATATCTGTTTGGCCACAAACTATTCGGTAAAATGTCTGTTTGGCCAAACTTCTAAAATCAACTTATATGGAATTATATTTTTAGAAGTGCTTTTGGCAAGAAGCAACTCGTATTTGGCTAATTAATTTAAAAATTATTTTTGAGCAGCAATTAATGTCTAGCTATACTTTTAACAAATACTTCTAAGTGTGTTTTAATCAGAAGTTTTTTTTTTTGTTTTAAAAAAAGTATTTTTCTAGAGAAACTATTTTTTCTACTTCTCAAAAGTTATTTTTTCTTTTACTTAAAACTATTTTTTTTTTCCTTCTAAAAGTTTGGCCAAACACCTTAACTTTAAAAAAAATATTTTTTTGACCAAAAAAAATATTTTTTTGACCACACGGGCTATTAGTTTCATTCTTTTCTCCTTCCTTGAACGGTACCAAGAATCTACCAGTGGTTTTTATTGGTCTAAACTTTAAACTGGGTTGTGACCTTAGGGGTTGGTACGTTGATTAAATTATCTCTGAATTATTATAATTTCTAGACTAATTTATTTTACTTGGGAGCTGCGATAAAATAATATCAACTTTGATAGGATAAATTGAGATAAGGTGGGATATCCAAGATTAAATTTGAGACAAAGTTTACACTTCGTTGGGTTGACAATATAAATTTAGTATCACATTTTATCCCAACTTATTCCACCTTTTCCCGCGTATCAAATGGTTGAAAAATAAGTTATCTCAGGATTAGTTATTTCACCCTCCCACAACGGTCAGCTGCCTTATGGCCGTTGCCCAACGTTATTATTGCACAAATAGCCCTTTTTGGGCAATTTTTTCTATAAAATAACACTTTTTGTAGTTACTAGTTCAGCCCTTTGAAAAACTATAAATACACTCCCCCCTCCTCTTCTTCATTTCTTAACTCGTATCTCATTTCTCAAACTCATATTCTCAATTCAAGTCAAATCATGCCCCGTACTTCTAGAGTGCGCTCATATGTTTGGGAACACTTTGAGGTGGTAGAGAAAAATGAAGAAGTTCACAAAGTAAAGTGCAAGAACTATGGTCTAGTTTTAAATCTTCGTCTAAAGTGGGTGGGCACAGGCTGTTTAAGGAGGCATATGAAGAGTTGTCTTGATCGTCCTCTAGAAATTTGTATTTAAGTTGATTTGAGACAATTTATGTTATTTTAAAATTATTAGACGTATTTATGCTTAATATTTTAGTCTGTTAGATTAATTTGAACTTTGAAGTATTATTATGCAATGAAAATCTAGTTTTACTTCTTTTTTGTTAATTTACTTGTTAAATGCAAACTTCAATTTGTAAGTTTGAAATAAAAAAAGCACTTGCAAATTATAAGTGCAATTTTTTCCATCTTCATTGTATTCTTTATATTTTTACTTTATATTAATATAAATTATAACAGTTATACAAAATACAAAATACAAAAAAAAGAATAACACTAACCCGGCCCGGCCAGGCTCCTTGGATTCGTAAACCTTACGGTTCATTTTCTACCCGGATGGACCCGAACTCGATAAGCCCGGTAAGCCCTAACCTGTAACCGATCCGGATTGAAACCCGGCCGGTTTCAATTTTTCCAACTCGGCCCGGCCGGCCCGGTCCACCTGTTTAACACCCTTATACCAAACGAGCCATTAGAGTTTTAGTTGTTGGACTTTTCTTCCATATGATCACCCTAGATTGATTATGACGTTTGGGGCCTACGTCTTTCCATCTCATACAAAATGCCACTCTATCCTATCTCTAATTTATGAGCTCTAGTATCACACGATACGGAGTTTAAAAAAACGATTTTAAAATTATGCATGAAAATTGTTATAATATTTGTTTGTTTATTAGATTTTTGATACGTACGGTCTTAAATATGTTATAATATTTGTTTGTTTATTAGACTTCTAATACGTATGATCCTAAATATTAATAGAAAAAATATTTTAGACCTTCGAATTAAACTATTTAAATTTTTATATCAGTAAATATAATTTTTTACAATAATATCAAAGAAAATATATTGTAAATATATGCCTAATATCTTATTTATTTAAAATTATCCTTTACAAATATAAATATTACTATATGAAATTAAAGAATTTATGTTATTTAAGAATATTATATCATAAACAATAAGTACAAAAAAATAATAATAACACTAACATATTTGCATATGTTTGCGTATACATATACGATTCTAATATATAAAAAAAAAATTTATTAAAATTTGGCTTTAGGCCACTAATTTTACTGAGCCACCCTGTTCTCCTCTCACTTTTGTTAGTCTCATTCTGTCCCTTCTTTCTCACGTGCTCTCAGTTTTCAGTGAAACACTACCAAAGAACCATGATAGAAAAAATATATATTTTCTTTCATTATTTGTGCTTTTTTATCTCATAAGTGCACGATTCTAGATGGTGTTTATGCTAAACACGGTTATCCATATTTCTGCTTGTTGCTTGCTGCTTGTGTGATGATAGGATTTATACTTTTATAGTGGAGTGCAATGAGATTGTTAGGCAAATGGTCAATGGTCGTGGCTTAATTTCTCCAAAAATTTTTAACACAATAGGCCTCTCGCAGCCATGTTTGTTGCTGTAATTCTGAGTTATAGAGAGCCTGGTGTCTATGTACCCGAACCCTGTTAACACGGATATTGTATTGGTGAACTACGATCATGACACGTGGCAGGCGAGGAAAGTGATGCGTGGCGTAGTTGTCCTGAATAAATATCTCGATACTCGAAGTCACAAAATCCGGATCGACGAACAGGAACGATACTAGTATTTGGGATCATCCCTTAAGGACCACGAAGGTAACACTTTGGGTAGAATTAAATCTTTGAGATTTCCACAAGTACTTGAAAGAGTATCTACATAGATGAAACTTGCAAGAAATCCAAGTAATTTTGTCTAGTTAGTATATACACAAATGAAACATATGGGGTAGTATGCAAAGACTTGGAACATCCACCGTCCCAGTGGCGAAGCTAGGAATTTACTCAAGGGTGTTTAAACTTGAAAGAAGTGAAAAAATCTCCGAGAAAGAGTGTTCAGTTTATGTTATATACCTTTAAAATCTAATATTTTACCTGTATACGCAGTGTAATTTTCTGATGAAGAGTTGACCATTCTTTACAACATGTAGCTTCGCCCATGTACCGTCCACGTACAGGCCCCTACATGATTCAAAATGCTAGTATTTGGTCATTAAATACTTTAACGTCGGTAGGGATGGGCAATGCGCTTTAAATAAAAAGAATTTAACTTTTGTGCATTGAGATATTTTTTCCGATTCAATTTAATTAACTTTTTGGCTATTTTTATATATATTAGGAAATTCACATTTTAATATTAGTTAACAATAAAATTGACCACATTAACCTTGATTTGTTTATTGAAAATATAACAAATATTCCTGGAATCTTTACTTCAAGGACAACTTTAAAAAAAAGAAGTTAATTCCTTCTTAATATCTGAAAAATTAAACATTATGGACTACAAAAAAAAAACCAAAAAATCAATTAAAGT